GTCTAATGGATTTTAGAAATTGAACCTTAAACGACACCGTTTTAGTAGAGCTTAATCTTTAACTGTTTAAAGGATTTTTTCATTATGTTTGTTAAATTTTATTTTGTTTTTATTAATATTATTAGTATTTTGGCTATTACCATGCTTTAATTCTATTTTTAATTATAAAACTAGTTCTTTACATTTTATTTAATTATTTTTTCTTGTAATAAATTTTTCATAAATCATTTAGTTGATTCTTTGCTCATTTGTCTGGTGGGAATGTCTAAAACTAGGTCTTTGTTGAAGTCATACATTACATATATATATATAAAGTGAAAATATATTAATTACTATAATTAAAATAATTTTTTATCTAAAATTTAGTAACACATTATGGTTCCTCGATTAGGGTCTTTTTAGGGACCTGCTTCAAACGGGTTGAAAATCTCGTTTAAACAAAAAATGGGGAGTGAACATTAGAGATTTCTCGTTTTTTTCGTTAGCTAAATAGGGTTGAAATTGAAAAAAAATATATAAAAAAAATAATAATGAATTGATTCCCATGTGAAACGCATTGATTAAAAAAAAAAAAAAGAATTTTGTTCGTAGTTTGATAAAATAATATGAAACTTTTATTTATAAGGATCAAAGTATAAAAATCCATTTTATAATTTGTAATTTAATTAGAAAAAAAATTATTCGAATCTTGGTGCACATGGGGAATGATACGGTTACATGTGCAGCTCCATTGCGTGCTACGTGGGGTAATGAAATTACGCCACGTGTCTCCTCGATCATTTTGGTCAGAGCAAATCATTGAGAGGACGAAGAAAGAAGCATAATATTTTTTTTTTTTTTTTTTTATATCTCAAAGTTCGCTGTCATAGCACCAAAGGTTAGTGCCTGTGGGGCCCATTAAAAATTTTTTTTTCCGTAAATAAATAGCAATAATTAATATAAAAAAATTAATAAAATAAATTAGGTACAAACTGGCAGATAATGTGGAGGTTGCATGGCTGCTTCCACCTCTCATGGTCGCATACTCTGAACCTACATGTCTTTTGTCTTTTATTTCTTTTTCTTTTTTTTTTCACTTTCCATTTAATTCTTAAAAAATAAAAAAAAAAGATAAAAAATATTATTAATTTTTCAGTATTGGATTATATTCTTCAGTTACTTTGTGAAAATGGGATTTTTAGAATGTAATAATTTATATATATATATATATTTAATTATCTACAATTTTAGTTTTGTTTTCTTGCAAATTAATTTATTATGTGGAATTGATTTGAAATATTCTTGTTAATGATTGTTTCGTAACTTGTTTTTTACTCAAATTTGAATTGGTTATTTATAATTAAAATTGAAGAAAATACTTCAAATTATTACTCTGTAAAAAGTTTAATTTTTTACCTAAATTTTTAATTTAACATGTCAATTTTAATTTTCGATTTTCAATTCTAAATTTTGCAATACACGTTATTATTTTTTTACCTACCTTTTAATTTAATATGAATGGTAAATTTTCAAAATTTTGATTTACATTCAATATCTATAAGTTAAAAAATTGTTTAATAGATATGTGACTCGTTCAACTTTAATATGTTAGATATAAAATTTAATTTTAAATGACTCTAAAATTTTTAATTTGTGTCTAATTTGTGTCTAGTAAATTTATTTGTGATAAGGAATAAAACAAGATTTAAAGCACGTTTAATCACAATAAGCTGCATCGAAAAAATTTAAGAAAATTGCCCGATAAAAAAAAGTTGTTAGTCTAAAAACTTTCAAAACTAAAAAAAACTATCGATTAATAACTTTGTTTTTATTTTTATAATTTGATAATGAATCCAAATGTTTTCATAATAAATATAAAAACCAAAAATTAAATATATTTTTATTCACTTTTTACTTTAAATTTATTTATCTGTTTTTGTATGGATTGTAATAAATATCAAATATAAATAAAAAAAAGTTTCCAATTTAATTTTTGGCCTATTTTCTTACACTCTTATGCCTTTACTGTATCAATAACAACAAATTTTATTTATTTCTTCCAAATATATATTTTTAAATTTGTATTTTTCAATTTACAACTCTCGAAGTAAAATAAAAAATGTCACTTTTTAATTTTTTATTTATAGCAATTTTGGAGTTTTTTTTCCCCTAAATTTTATTCAGTGGTCTAGAAATGAAAATAAAATGATATTTTTTATTTTTATTTGAGTAATTATTTTCCGTAGTGAAAATGATTGATTGGTTTATTAAATTAATTTTACAATTTCACTATATTTATATTTATTATGATGAGACATAAACTGTGGATAAAAAATTATATATTTTAAATAATTAAAAAAATAACTCCGACCCAACCTAAAAATAGAAGAGTTGAGTTGATTTGGACTGCCCACCTCTTTCGAGTCTTTTAAATAACATATCCGAACAACCAAAATTTTCGGTAGGTCCAAAAAATTCTCTAAGCACGTAAATATGTATTAAAAAGAGTATTAACGATTATTTGGAACAAAAAAATCTGATTTTTCGGGGTCCAAAAATAATCTCGAAAGAATGAGTATTAACGAGAACGCTAGACCCCGAAAGAATGGAATGAAATATTATTTATAAGAGTGTGTAAACTCATTTTAAAAACGTCGAGCGGGAGGGGAAGGTGTAATAGTAAAAAGCTAGTTGTTTTATGTAACATATTTGATTGGGTGTCATAGTTTTCACCGGTATTCCATGACTTTCCAATTTGAAGGACTCCGCGTGTGCCCATAACAGGTTAAAACCGACAATATCGGTTTGCGATAGACTTGAACAGTTATAAAATTAAACTCTACTAAACGATAATTATCACGTATTCTCGAATGTTCGATACTCTCCACACGTTGACCTAAAATTGTGATAAAATTCGTTCGTACTACAAGGGTTCGAGCCTCCGGTGACGGTTATAAAGTGTAACTATATTGTTATGATGGTCGACAAACAGTGAACGTTGAAAATAGATATCAAACCGAACATCGTAATAAAACACTCCAAATATTAAACGTGGTCGATTTATTGTGTGCATCGCCAATAATTTAGCCTTTTACAATAAAAACAAATTTAAATTAGTTCAAAATATAATTATTTTTAATTAAATTATTTAAATATTAATTATATGTTTCTGAAATAAATAAAATAAAAATAGTGACCTTTTCACTTGGTCGTCCAATGGTCAGGGAATCCTATGCCGCCGTGGATACTGTTTTAAGAATATCCATTCTTTTAAATAAATATAAATTATTATTAGTAATTTTTATTTTATTAATTGAAATTTACATTTTTTTTTGGGTCTTTAAATTGTCTACAAAAATAAAATCTGTTTAAACTTTAAAAATATTTAATAAATTCTAAAACTTTCATTTTTATATAAAATAAAACTATTAAATTTTAATTTACGTGGAATATTATTGTGACGAATTCAATAAATATATATATATATATATATATATTTTTTTTTTGAGAAATATTTTAATTTAGTTAATTTTTTATAAAAAATTTGTATATATTAGATACAAAATTAAAAGTTTAAGAACATATTAAATAAAAAAAATTAAAATTTAAATATTTGTTAAAATTGAGAGATCAAATAAAAATAAATATAAATATAGAGCTTAGATTAAATCGGTAAATTTAGTTTTATTTTTTATTTATTTGGACCAATTTCTACTATTTATTTAAAATAAAGTCAACTTAGATTTTATATGGATTGAAGCTACATTGCATCATATTAAAATCATTTCAAAAGTGGTTTTCATTTGACTTTTATTGTTTTTCTTCCTCCAAGTCAAATGGCCTTTTGAAATTAAAATAAATATATTATTTAAAAAACTATACAAAAAATATATATATATATATATATATATATATGACCCGTACTTGTGAAGTTGAGAATGAGATTGGAAGCACAACTTCTCAATTGAAGTCGCAATAGGTAGGAAGGAAGAGGAGTGACCTTCTCAAAGGTCGGGGTTGCTCGAAATCTATCAAATACGAGCTATTTTTTCTATATTCCATCTACCGCCAATCTCAATACATGTGTCACGATGGCGGATCAAGATCTCATATTGATTGGAGAGGAGAATAAAACATTTTTTATTAAGTGTGTGGAAATTTCTCCCTAACAAACGTGTTTTAAAATCGTGAGACTAACAACAATACATAACGAACAAAAGTAGACAATATTTACTAGTGGTTAGTTTCGACTGTTACATCTTTTGAGTAAGGAAAACTGGAGTATTGGTCGGGAGAGAGAAATAAGAGGAATTATAGATTAAGAAAGTCGTTAGCTACATGGGACCAAAAACACTTTTTTTTTTTATCCTGTTTTTTTTTTTAGTAACCCGCTTGGTCAACCCTCAACCAACTAAAACATTTCTTTCATAAATTTCTCTCGGACCCCCTTGAAAACACAAATAAACATAAAAGAATTATATATATATAGCCCGAAGAGAACAATATCCGCTAACGGTGGACTTGGATCGTTACAAATGGTATAAGAGTCAGACATCGGACGATGTGATAGCTTTCTCGCTATTCCCCAAAGGGGTAGATACGAGGCGGTGTGCTAGTAAGGACGCTAGGGCTAAAGGGGGTGGATTTGGCGGCGGTCCCACATCGATTGGAAGAAGGAAAGAGTGTCAGCGAAGACGCTGGACTGCGAAGGTGGTGGATTGTGATGTCATACATGGGTTGGAGAGGAGAACAAACCACCATTTATAATGGTGTGAAAACCTTGCTCTAGCATACACGTTTTAAATAGTATATATATATATATATATATATATGAAAAAAAAGAAGCTTTTTTTTATGGATATAAAAATAAAAATAAAAGAAAAGAAATGGAAAATGGAAATGGAAAATGAAAGTACAGCAATACTGAAAAACCCAACCCTACCTGTTTTCTTTTATTCTTTGTTACTCTCTCATCATTCACTGCATAAATTACCCCAACCCCACACTCTAACGTCATTCTCTCTCCTCCTCCACTTCTTCTTCATCAATTCCACCTCCATTTTCTCTCTCTAAAAATCCTCCGCCACTTTCTCTCTCCTCTGTCCCTCTGCCACTGCCCTCTTCTCCTCCATGAGAGCTTGTTTACGTACTCTCCCATGGGCAAGTACATCAAGAAATCCAAATCCTCACGGGAAATCACCCTCATCGACGCCTCTCAATCTTCCTCCTACATTGGCGTTCGAACTCGTGCCAAAACCCTAGCTCTTCAGCGCCTTCAGAAGGTTTCAAATTCCCCCCCGCCGTCGTCGTCTCCGGCCACCTCTGGCTCTTATCTCCAGCTCCGTAGTCGTCGGCTGCAAAAACCGATGAGTATTGCTATTGCGAATGAGTCCAGGAAGCAGAAATTGACGCAGAGGCAGAGGAGTGCTGATGCTCGTGGCCGGAGAGTTAATGTAGATTCCAGAGGTTCCTCGAGGTTGGGGGTTTGTTCTGTTGCTGCTGGTTCTATTGAGTCCGTCTCGCGTCGGCGCGTTCACGGCGATGTGAAAGAAACGGCGGCGGTGGTTGAAGAAATTGTGGTTAAGAAGAGTGAGGTTCAGGAAAATGTGAATATTCTCGATATTGGGGCTCAGGAAGACGCTTCGTTTGGAGAAAATAATTTGGAATTTGAAGGTAGAACGAGGTAGGCCTTTCTCTTCTTCCTTGCTTCGTCTCTGTTCATCTTCTTTTTTATTGAATCGCCATTTTCTCTTCACATTTCAATGCTTCAAGACAAGGATTCATGTGTTTTTGGATAATTTTGGGGCTAGATTTCCAGTTTTCTCTTCAATTTGACACAGCACAGTGTTGTCACATACAAGTCGATCAATCTGTTCCGAGGAAATAGAGAGTACATTTTCAAGCATAATTAATCATCTCTGATTCGCCCTTCCAAAAATTATCACGCTTCTCTCTCCTGACATACAAGTTCATACGCATACATTTTTTTACTCGAAATTGAAATGGACGAAAAACTGAAAATTCCATCAAAACTCGAGCATGTCGAGAAGTCCTTTTTCCCCCTTTTTCCCCTTTTTCATTTTGATTTTTCAGTAGCTTCCAGTCCTTTCGTGTTGTACATTAATTGAGAAGAGCATTTGTCTTTATCACATTTCTGTAATCGCGTCTAATATTGATTTCTATAGTCCTTTTATGCCTAAAAACTTTCGCCATCTTTCTAAACGCGCCTCACGCTGTAAGAATACTTTTGAAGGATTGTGGCTTTTGAATTGCTTTACCTTTATTCTCCTGTTCGTTCGTTTATCTAGCTTCATCATGGCTACCTTTTTGTATTTTTTTGCCCAATCCAGCGTGGGGCTCTATTGAATCACGTGAAGATTCCCCCGAAAAAATTTAACGTTCACCATTTCATTGTTCGTCCTTCAAATTGAAGGAGCTGAAATCTGTTCATCCTGCACGTCTTTTTGTTCCTATTTGAGGCATTGAATGAGTTGACATACTATATGTGATTTATTTCTCAGAATAGCTGCCTCCATCCTCTGGCTTTGTTTACATATATGAATTGGTCTGTAGTTTTTGTTTAGAATCGAATTGTAACCAGTGTTCATTTTACTGGGGAGCAGTAGGGAATCCACTCCTTGTAGTTTAATAAGGAAGGCCGACAGCATACGAACGCCGAGCTCTTCTACGAAGGTGTCAAGTACCACTGATGATAGGATACAGCTGCAGAACTCCTCTGCAACAGATGTTCCAACTGCTCAGGAAGTTGACGATTTCTTCAACTGGGCCGAAGGAGAGCAGCAGAGGAAATTCATTGAGAAGTAAGTGATACATTTTTCATTGTCAATACTGTTTTCGACGCCCTTTTAAACTTATCGTGAGGATTGAGCTAAATTCACATCAGGAGTATTACATTCCCGGTTAACTGCAGGTATAACTACGACCCCGTCACAGACAAGCCACTTCCCGGTCGTTACGAATGGGAGAAATTGGACGATTAGATCACGAAATTCACTCAATATATCAGGATTCCGGACCTATTTTTCTCAATGTTCTCAGGTTATGTTGTGCTTATAATTGGTAGATAGTCAGATCTTAGTTTCTGTCACCCTTTTACTTGTAAAGAAGTAGGGCTGTACTAATGGCTGTAACATAACAAGAATTTGAATTACACAGCAAATAGGACTCAAGGCCTGAGGGCGCAGGGTGTATGGATTGGTGTAGGATTTAGGCCTTTGGGTAATCTGGGTAATTAGGTGAATGTGTGGGGTACAGAAATTTACTTAGAATTTTTTTTTTTTACTTTTACTCCATTTGTACTGTATTTTCCCTCCCTATACTTGGACCGATGGAAACAGTGAAAAAAAAAAAAAAAAAAAAAAAA